AATATAAAAATCCAAATATATTGAGACTTAAGAAGTCGAAAAACAAATGTGGAAAAATATTTCACACAAATTTTGACATTCGAGTGACTTTTATATACAAACAAAATATTAATAAAAATCATAAAAATTATTAAGTTGATCAAATATCAAATGATACTCCTTTAAAAATATAAATGTGGGAATTTTTGGTGATTAAAACCCAAGTGTATCAGATTTGTAAAGCACCGAAATTTAAATGAATTAAGCATTTTATTTGTTATTCATAATAAAAAAAATATATAGGTGTAAAAACTTTTCTGTGTTCACAAAAAGGAAAGGAAATATGTATTACGAAAAACATTAAAATACAAATTCTATTAAACATTTTAGACCAATTACTTTAAAAAAGCAGAAATATAATTATTTCAATTTTAAACGTTTTACACCCAAGTACATAAAAAATAAAAAAGACTTTAAATGCTTTATAAATATTTAAAATTTTAAAGGCTTCAAATATGTAAAATAATATAAAAATCAAAGTAAAAAAATCTTATTTAATTTTCAACTTCCACAAATTTTTATTCAAATGTTTATAAAAAAAGTTATAAAAAAGCTTGAAGACCACAATAAAAAATTCCTTTTAATTTAAAAAGGAAAATATGCAGGGTATTCGTCTAAACGCGTAAATGCCTTTTAAGTGTGCAAACCTCGTAAATAAACCCGTTTTCCATACAAAATTAAGTAAGTTTACGAGGTTTACGTGATTACGAGGCATTTACGTGTTTCTATGAATTGCTCTAAAATTTTTAGACCTTAAAATATCAAGAAACCAGCTCTTTACTACAAAAAATGTGTGTGAAAGGCATACAATTTTTTAAGAAGCTAGAGAATTAAAATTCCTTAAAAAATAAATCGTTTGAATAATGAAAAAGCCAAGTATACATAATGCGATTGCATTAAAATTGAACCAAAAATATGAAATAAAATGTTAGTAAAAAATCGTATAAAAACAAAGTCAATTACAAGGATTTTAAACATAAAAGAACTTTTTGTTAATTTAGAACGCATTAAAATAAAAAAATACTAAGGTAAATAAAATGGAATAAAATAAAATAAAACCGATGAAAACGGCAAAATATAAATCGACAAATTAAACGTTTAAAAATTCAAATTCATTCAAACTGTTTTGCTTTCAAAAATTAAATTTCGAATTAAAAAAATACTTATAAAGAATAACAGCCCCTTTTTCAGCAGTTAAACTCAGTTGTAATGTGTGATGGACGGCAACTCAAGTTCAGCTAAAAAAATTAAATAAGAACAAATATACATAAATATTTGAAGTGTAAATCAACAATGCCCTCTCTGAAACAAGAGAAGTCACGGCGACATTTACTGCTGAATTAATTTCCAATCCTATTAATTCAAAATAGACTTTTACTTAGTGCGCATACAAAATGTGTTTAATTTAATGCGAATAAAAACCGAAAGTGACTGGAAAATTATTTAGTGGAAAGTAAAACTCTACCCAAAGCAGAGTTGACAAAGGATTCCAAAGTAAATGAATAAAATGAGAATAAAAAGTTCTGCAAAAAAAAACTAACAATTAAAATATAAGTGCACTTAAGTGAATTTTCGTATGAATAAAACAAAAACTACCTACAGAAGTGCAACTGTTTTACAAGCAAAAGCCATATATGTATGTACATACATACATACATACATACGTATGTACTTTTAGGGAGATTTGAATATGATTCGAGAGAGACCTTATGTACTTAAAGCTTATTGGAAAAGCCGTTGATCTTAAATGGAAAAAAAATTATAATTTAAGTATAACATGTTTTTGATTCTACTGGAAGTGATTAGCAGGGAACGGATTTTATGGAAATTGCCTTTTTTGCTAATATATTCGATTACGAATGTCCACGATTTAGCTTTCGCTGATTCCATATATACACATTTGATGTTGCCTTTTTTGCCTTTTCTACCTATAAAAAAGTGATTATAGCATTCATTTTTTTTTTTTTTTAATATTAAAAAATTAATGCCCAGTGTAGTAGTGAAATACTTAAGCAAACATTAATATTGATTTCGTTTCTCTCAAAAAATGTTGGCCTTCCACGGAGCAAAATATGTTTAATGTTACACCCATTTATTTCTATAATTTATTTCATGTGTTCTCTTCGATAAAAAAAAAAGTTAATTGTTATAACGATCGTTTTTGTTTTGCGAATGTTTCGTTTTAAAGTCGTAAATACAAATACTGTATTTTTTATTTTTTATGAAGTAAAATTATAACAAAAAATTTTATTTTACAATTTATTTTAAAAACTTGTATCATTTTCTCGCACAAAATATAAATAACCAGCTCTTATACTATATATTTTGTTAAGATTAACATTTGTTCTCTGTTCTCTTCCCCATCTAAATCTCTTTTTGCTGAATGGAACGTGTTTATACTCATTTTTTTATATGCTACACATGTACGCATACAGGGCGTATGAGTGATTTATGCCACGCTTGATAAGAGCTATTTAAATCCGAATGGTTAATGGTGCAAATTAACTGTTGGAGCACACTTTTCAACCTAAATTAAACTGTGAAATATATTTGATGGTATACATTTTTTTTTGCTCCAAATTAAAAGACGCGAGAAAGAGGTGGTAAAGGTGGAATTTTTATACCATTAGAATCAATGGAAGAAGGAGGACCATGTCCACTTTTTCTTTTTTTTAGATGAATTATTATTTACTTATGCTCAAACAATGGTTGTCAAACGAACTCGCACAGCTCTAGCAGTTGTTTTCCTAAATTGTAGCAGTACTGGAAATTTCCAGTGAAATATTAATTTAAGTACTAAAATTTAGGTCAACTCGCACACCGCCTTAGTGCGAGGATTAACTTCCAGAGGGGATTTGCATCATAAACTTGCAAAAAGTTAGTGGGGTTACACCGTTAGAAATCTATATTGGGAGGCTATACAAATTTGAAAATCATAAAGAGCAATGTTAAGGAAAAATTTAATTTAATAAAGGAAATATTGGGGTAATTGAGTTTACTGGTTGAAGAAGATCTGTGAGGTCAATATGCAGTAATAGGGATATACATATGTATGTATAGTCAAAAATAACTTGTCAACGATATATGTATCACGCTTAAAAACTGGGTTACAAATTAAAAAGTTGTGAAACAAAGGCGTAGGTTACATTTTATAAGATGTCAGTGGTACTGCCATATCGTTGGATGTATTTATGGCTAAAGGGGGGAATGGCTATGACCTGATACTCATATCACATTAGTCGTGCATTTAGCCGCCAGTTAATTAAGAATATTTCTGCATTCTCTGCAAATCAGATGTTGTACCTATCGGAGTTGGGCAAAATTAGTCGAATGACGAATAACAAATAAACAGATTGCTGTTTTCGTTATTCGTAAATAATAACTGATTTACTTTTTTACAAATTATTTGGTCTCTTAACTGTCATTGTTGTGTTTTTTTTTTACAAAAATTCCTAACTGACATAGTATTTGCATGTGAAACTTAAAAAATAGAGATTGGGTTTTCAGTCTTTGGAACGTTTGCTTATTTCAGGCGCATAACTGCTTATTGTTGGGCGCTTCAAAGGATGTATTGGTGCTTCTGGAATGAAACAAAATTTACAACAAAAAAAGTCACACCAATTTTAATTTTTTTTTTCAATTTGTGTTTATATTTCACATCGCCCACAATAATATTAAAAAACAAAACTCGTGCGAAGAAAACAAAAAAAAATTGTGGTAGATAACTTTTGATGCAGTTTACTTCTATTTGACACGTAAATAATGGATCCACAGTCATGGCCCTAAATTTAATATGTGACATTCCGCCATCTTGGACTTTAAGTTTTTTTTTTTGGTTTTCTACGATTTGCAAGCTGATTTTTAAAAGGTTGATTATAAATTTGTAGAGAATTTAATTTTCCATATTTTTGTGTAGAAGGTTTAAAAAAAAACATTTTTTACTGTAAATATTTAGAAAAAACAAATATAGGATAGCTGCATTTTTAATTTTTCTCTCCGACATCAGGATTTTTTAAAGGACTTTGAAATTTCAAATTCACTAAATTATTAAAAAATTTTTGTGCAATAGAGAATATATGGGTATCAAATAAAATAGAAAATTCTGTAGAATTGAAAAAGGTTATTATTTTTTTGATGCGCAAGCACGAATAAGTATTGTAAGTGTCCTTTAAAGATTTTATCCTTGAACATTGTTGAAAATTTGCAATATTAATTTTTGAAAAAATTACACGTTAAAGACTAATATGAACACGACCACATCCTCGAATTACGCAATACCTTTTCATCCTTCAGAACCAATAAAATTTAAATTCCACAGAATTGTTTTTGTTATTTTTTAGCCTTATAACAATTATATTCAACAATTTTTATTCTACAGAATTTTTTCCTGCGATTGGTACCCACAATGTTTTTCTACATTACATTGAATTTTTTGAATAATTTTTTTGAAATATACATATCTTTGAAATTTTAAAGTCCTTTTAAAAAAAAAATCTGACGTCAGTGAGAAAAACTAAAAATGCAGTTTTACTATATATGTGTGACCTCCAATACCGTGCGCAAATTAATTTTTTCGTGTGTCTTGAAATTTTATTTTTTTTTGTAGCACGGTGTAATCAGAAATGAACCCCAGCTCGTTGAGAAAATCAAGAAATTTTATGCACTTCGTTGTATGTATTTAAGTGTACGCAATCTGTGAAATTTAAAAATCACTGATTGTTAAACATAAAATGTAAAAAAAAAAATAAAAACAACTCATTAAAATAATAGATACCCAGTTCATAGCATTTGCGGACAACACCAACCCCAATGCCGCAAATGTGGCGCTTTACCTTAAAGACGCTCGTGCTGGAACTATTCACAGCAGATCTAGCAACTTAACTCCACCCAGACGGCTATAATCCCTCTGACACGTTTCCCGCACAGCACCTGTACCTCACCGCCACCCCTGTGTATACGCAATGCGCACGTTTAATTTTGCTGCCAACACCTTCATCTTTGTAGTTGCTATTGCAACTTATCTGTCATTTGCGTTGCATACCTTAGCCTACAACATAGACACTTTGATGCCGGCTATCGCCAAAAGGAAAACCAATGCGCCAATAAATGCCGGCGTAATCACGCATTGGCAACAGCGGCAGCAGCAGCAGCAGCAGCTAACAAAACAACAAAATGATTCCGCTTTGCCGGTAATGTCGACCGGCACAGCGGTCGATCCACTAGAGAATGCATCTGCTGGGATGACATTGAATTCGAGTGCGTTTGTAACCTTTACACCTGACAGAGGATACGTATACGAAGACCGGCAAGGTCATGTGGTGAAGCGCGAAAATATCGAATACGATTTGTCTGGCTTGCGCGTGTACAATGTGGGTGTGTTGATGGCATCGCACTTAGGTAAGTACGAGTATATAGGAACTTGCAATAGAAACATATATATATGTATATATGCATATCTACTCTTGCACGCGCTTTCCTCTTTATTTTCAAATTTACTTGCTTCTCGTGCACAGATTCACCATTTGATTTGGAGCGCTGTGGGCCTGCCGTAGACTTGGCACTGGATGTTATCAATAAGGAATTTTTGAGACCGCATAAAATTAAATTGCGCAAAGTGCAAGCAAGGTGAGTAAATACTATACTGGGACACTTAATTTTGCAAAACAATTAAATTTTACGCGCGTTACTTTTAATTGGTGCAGTTTAGTGTAAATTAATGCAATCCTATTTAATTGCTAGGAGCTTTTCCATTCAGCAGCAGTGCGTACCACCAATGTTTCAGCTATGCATTATAGTACATAGAAAGGAAAATATACAACGAAGTATTTCGCTGTATATACAAGTGTATACGTACACATTTATGCACATACATACATACTTCCGTCTTCCATATAAAGCTGAGAAATTGTTACTCATACGCCCCGTGGCGCATTTACTTATGTTTATGTAGATACATATGAGCAGCTCCTCAAAATAGACAACCAAAAGCAAAAAAAATAAAATGTGTACAGTTAACTAAATTCGACTTTTCAAACAGGTGGCAACCCTCTTCAAAAGTATTTTCAAACTAAAATCGACTTAAATCGCTTTCGCCTGGCATAGTGATACATGTTTCAACTAACCGATAAATGAAATGAATGAATTTGATTTTTTAAACACGTGGCAACATTCCTAAATATAGTTAGGGAACAAAGGCCTTTCAAACACATTGCTAATGAAACCAATCTTTTAATAGTTAATTTAAATTATTTAATTATTTGCAATTTACATTTTAAACCGGTGGCAACCCTCTTCAAGCACTTCAAAAATATTAAATTTATTCAGGCTAAATATTTTGTAACTCTCTTTTCTTTGACACCGATATTTTAATATTTCATATAAATTGCATACACGTTAAGTAATTTCGACTTTTCAAGCAGGTGGCAACCTTCTTCTAATTATTTTAAACTAAACACTTCTTTCACCTCTTTCTTCTTACATCTCCTTAATTCAAGTTGAATTTCATTTTTTAAACAGGTGGCAACCCTCCTACATTTAACCAAAAAAATAAAGCCCTTTCAAAAGCACTTCGATACCAGTATTGTATTACTTGATTTTACTTATTAAATAAATTGAATATTAATTTTTTAACAGGTGGCAACTCTTTCGAAGAAAAAAACTATGATAAATTATTTAATGGAATGGTAATGTGCCTGTCTTATTTAACCTTTGTTAATAAAAGTTATAAAATTTTGCGTCATATATATAACTCCTTCTAATTTTTGCTATTTTGTTGGAACAAATAAAGGTACATGATTAATGACATTTTCTTTTCTACAAAAAGTGTTGCCTTGCACTGAGAACTGTACAACCCTGCTCCCTTCTAATGAGCAGGGTTGTACTTTCCATATTTAAATAGCCACCATTGGCTATTCATGCACAGAATAAATATTTGATATGAAAATGAATTTTCGCAGTTAGTCATCCGTTCATAATTAAATAGGCCATTGGAAATGGGCCCTAAGAATCATAAAAAAAATTAATAAATAAAGATTACGGCTATGCGATTAATTAATAAATCGAACAAGCTGATTAATCGAAAGCCGATTAATTAATTAATCAAATTTTTAATATTTTTATTGAGCTTTGTACCACGATTGTTTATTAGGAAAAATTGAAACTTGACTAATCAAATTATGTTCAACAATTTTTATTGAGCTTGATACCGGTTTTAATGAAAAACTTATTGCGAAAAAGCAAGAATAATTTGAAAAAAAAAAATGGTAGAAGTGATAGCTATTTCGGAAATCACCACATTTCCTCATCAGACTTCTTTCAGTAGGATCCGAACGAATTAATTAATCAAAGAAGAATTAGTTTTGATTAATAAAAATGATAAATTTTCCGATTAATTACATATTGATTGATCAGAATCTAATTAATTTGATTAATCGGCAAACTGATTAATCATAACCTGATTAATTCTTTGCCGTTTGATGACAATACACCTAGTTGAACACCTGCAAAGTTACTAGATACCCGATTTACTATTGTCTAGTAACATTGGAGACCTTCATGCTACACATGTATATTCAGGGTTTTTTAAGGAGAAATTACTGTTTATCCTACCAAAAATTTTTTTGAATGCCGCGTCCGTTACCGAGGATTTACCCATATGTACATACATTCAAACGTTCCACGTAACTGCCCCTATTTAGTGCAATATTTAAAGCTAAATTGTAATGATACTAACTTGTTGTATAATTGCTATTTAGTTAATTTTAATTGGAAAATTTATTACTTCCACTTTGCTGTAATGTGACGTGCGACCTTCAACGGCTAGGACAACAAGTTGCAAGAATGATTGATTTTCACTTCCCATTAATAGTGCTAAATGGTCCTTTAGAATGTGTGACAAATTCACGATGTTAGAAAAATTTGTAATTTAATTTCGTGAATTATTCGTCCTCAACTACATATAACCAGCACCGTTGGGCAAGAACAAAGGTTCACAGACACATAGAGTCTTCTCCTCTCTCCACGACGATCCAACGATGATCTGTGTCACTTTTGTATAGCTAATTCATCTTTTGGTCCACCCAAGTGTCCGAACATGCTACTTACGATATCTCGGACATGTGATTTAAATGCTGGCCACCGTGGCGCCCCTATATTTTTTTTAGCCATTCGGAGGTTCAAATGGGTATGTCTCACTTTTTAGGTCTATCAGAAAGCTCCTTACTGGCAGGGAATATGTATATCCTTGTTTCCATTGGCGATTCCGACCTGCTTGATTCCATGAGAAATAGTTAATAAACAATTTCGCCTACGTTTCCTTGTCCAATGAAGACATCACCGAACTCTCTATTAAACTCTCTATTATACAGAAGTGTGACCTTTGAGGCCGATTTTGGCATTCCGACATTCTCGAATCGGACAAGCCATCCCATTTTTGGCATTTCACTGGTGAACCACATAAAAAGATAAGTAAAATATATGTACTTAAATTTTTTTACGCTTATATGGATGTTAACACTTTTCTGATTATCAGCTTATCGGAATATGTGGGTTTTAAGTCATTTTACAACAATAAAATACACTTTAGAATAATAAGTTTTAACCTCATACCTTGATAACCGGGCTAGTGTGAATACCCACAATAATTTACATTCAATAACTGCACTTTAATGAGTTTATAATATTAATTAAATGTCTAAATATGTATGTATGTATGTATGCATAAAATTTTCACCCCAGTTATCCGTCATGCTCTGGTGCAAAGGCGCCTGGGTTGGCAGCTGATATGCATTTCAAAGATGACGTTATAGCGTTTATTGGACCCGCATGTGCATTCGCATTGGAGCCGGTTGCACGTTTGGCAGCTTATTGGAATTCACCCATTATAACTGGGATGGGTGATCAGGTGAGATAGATTATTTTTATTTTTTTTTGTTGTAGTAAATTCCTTTTAGAGCTAGATTTGGATTAAAGCGGCAATCTTATATACATACGTACTTATTTAATTTAATTTTTCGAATACAGTGTCTGAGCTGAAATTTTGAAACCCTTTCAAAACAATTGTAGCTTGCTTAAAAAAAAAAACCAGACACAGCACAGAATTGGTGTTAATTTTGAAAAATTTTAAAATCAGACAAAGTTGTCGTCCGCTTCTTATGTGAAACTATTACTAATATTCCAGAAATTCACAAAATAATTTTCCGGAGAATTTCCTTTTAACCAGGAATCGAAAATTGCCATTAAAAAAGACGATTTTTGATTTTTAGATCATTGCAAGGAATAATTATAATTTTTAAATTTGGATTCTTACTTTTTCCATCAAATTTGATCGTTATTTGTGAATTTAATTTTTTTTTGTAACTAAAATAATCGTTCTTTATGATCTTTGTTTATGAAGACTGCGTTCTTATGACTATTGGGTAAGAATTCGTGAAACCAATAAATTTTTTTCGCAATGTAGAAATATTAAACGAAAATGTAAACGGTTGATGAATTCATTTCTTAGTTTCATTTTATTCGCATTAAAAAAAATTTAGTAAAGGAAAAATGATTTTTATCAAATGAGTTGAGATTTTCGGGGTCTACTATAAAAATAATGAACTTTGTGAAAGGAAAATGGGGAAAAATGGTTTGCCGAAAGAAAATAAAAAGATTTAAATCCTGTTTTAACGATTAAATTATTTTGTTTTTTTTTCTGCAACAGAATAAACATCGACGGCTGAGTCTAATATCGACCTATCTCAGCAAATTTTTTAAAAACGCCCTATCTCAGAATTTGTTTGAAGATTGATCTAACTGATCAAATGGCTAAAGAACCCCTATCGCAATGTAAATTCCATATATCGGCAGCGCAGATGGTGCATTCTTCAACCAAATTCTGAGTTGGGATGGTTTGCAATCAAATTCTGAGATACGGCGTTCTTCAATAAAATTCAGAAGTAGGGAGTGCTTGAGCCATTTTCTGAGATAGAGCGTTTTCAAATCGGCTGCCGAGATAGGTCGATCTTCCACTATTTTTAAAAATTGATATCGTGCTGACTAGACGATTTTTCCTAAACAAAGTCATGCCTTAGCCCGTCTGAGTTTTGTTTTATTTTCCATCAAAGGTTAAGAAATAACATCGACACATTAGATAGAGAGTTGACTCCTAACAATATTAATTAACACAAGGTTAGAAGCATTCTGATGAACCTTATACATATGTAATGTTACTCATACGCTCTGTAGAGCGCTCCATGACTGTTTATATTTCGATTGGTGCTACAAAATCTAATAGGGGATTCCCTTAAGCTCGTTAAGTATTAAACCGTGTAAAACTCGTAAGTTTACGGAGCTTTTAGGGAAACGGTCCCTGTGTGAAAAGGGATTTTGTGAAATAATTTTTGTTTCGTAGTATTTTCCATAACATCCCGCGATCTTGCCTCTAACACTCTTGGCTAAAATACAATTAAAAATGCCAAAAATTAGCAAAAAACCTAAGTCAATACAGTTAGTGGAAGAAATTCATTCATTTTATTAGCTAATTTTTTTTTAATTTTTTTTCATTATTTTATCATACATTTTAGTTAAAAATTTCGGCCCCTCGGCAAAACTGAAGTTTACGAGGTCGTTTGCGCATCAAATTTGCCTCGTAAAGTTACGAGGTGCTCGTTAATAGAGCTCCATAAAAATTTTGACCGTTCTTTTACGAGGCTCGTAAATTTACTGGCTGTACGAGGTTTATACGAGTTTAAGGGAAGGCCCCTGAGGTTATATAAAATCGCAGACCTAAGGTCTTTCTCCAGAATGTAACAATCTTATTACCATGACCATTTCTAATTTTCCCAAATGATGAATGTACATATTTTGTGTGGCATCTAAATTCTATATGTAGTTAATTTTTTGTTTTTCATCCAGCCGCCTTCAGATGATGAATTAACGGTAACATCGGGTATTTTGGGAAAAATTCATAAATGGAAAAATGAAAGTACGGTAAGTGTTTTACATTTTTATTATTATAAATGGTGCGTACATAAATTATGTCTAAAT